CACCAATAAATATATTTATTTCTTATCAGCTGGAGGGATTTTGGTCTTTGACTCTATTTTTGTGATTGTTCACTTGGCTGAAACTCATTGCATCAAAATGTCTCTTAGGAAATGCTTTTAGCCCCAAAGCCATATTAATATTTAAACTGTTGTTCTGGAGCAGTGCAACAGCTGTGTGATGAGAAATAAAGACATTTTTCTCTTTTTCTCTGAGCAGCTCTAAAGCATCAAATGGTAAATGGAGAAGAAGGGGATTTTTTTTYCCCTGCTGTGGCTCTTATATAAAACACCAAATACTAACAACTGACCCCCCAACCCTTCTCTAGTGCTACAGATTTGATCGTAGCAAAACTTTGGGTATCACTGAAATGCACTCAGATATTGAGGACTTAAAAATAAATTAATCTAGGCAGAAAGCGTTCCTGAAAACCTTAATTTCTGCATCTGGATTGCTGAAATGCAATTCAGACCCATCCACTCTTGAAAAATAAACTAAATTTCTATAATTTAGAGCACATTAAAATATTCATAAATATATACACGTGTAAAAATAAATATAGACACAAATCCACTTCATTTATTTGTTTTGCTTTTGCTTATAAATGAGCTTAAAATCATGGTTTTCACAACTGGGAAATGAATAAATGCATATTCATAGTCRGCAGGGCTGAGTAAAAACAGAGCTGTGGCCCTACCATGAGGCCTCTGCTTAGACTTTAACCTGGCCCACCTCAGAATGGCCAGTAAATGTCAGAATTGGGAAGAAAAAGATATGAGACATGCCTTGGAACTGCTCCATCCCTAAAGACAGAGGATCTGCTGAACACAACTCGCATTTCAAGCTTTTCTTTGTAATTCAAGTGGGGCTGGAACCCCTGTTTTCTAAGTGAAAAATGAAATTCTGGTTCCTTCACGGGACTCCAGGAGGTGACCAGTAACAGCTCAGCCTTGACCCATCCCTGTCAGTTGCTTCCAGGAAGAATTTGCCTACATAATGTTTGAAAAAAAATATATTTTATCTTTTTTTTTAAGTCACTGTAATTTCATTTTTAGCAAGGTGAGGAATCCATCATGCCCTGCTCTGAATAGAATTCTCTGATGGGTTGGTAGCAACATCTGCAGCCTCAGAGTAGATATTCAGTGGCAGGCRACTATGAAATAAATGAGCAAATTTTACATAGCTTGGCCTCAAATGCTTTGTCATTCCCCAGTAAATTAAAGAGTCCTCCATTGGACCTATAAATTTATTGTAGCAGAATGATTCCCTGAGTGCAGAAACAGCCTGGCCCTGTTTTCTGGAGTGTTCCATTCCCTACAGATAACGAGAGCCCAGCGCTGCCCCTGTGCAGACCATGGCGCCAATAAATCCAGCACAAAACCCTTTTTGTGGCTTTTCCTGGGGCTGCCACTCAGTGTTGCTCTTTCACTGGGTTTTTGGGGCTTTTTTTTTTCCCAGAATCTTGATCAAAGTATTTGCTGGGGGGCAGGGAGGAGTGCTCTCTGCTAATTACTTATGTGCTTATAAACCATATTTTGATAACAGAAGGGTAGAGGTTTATTACTCATCCTGGAACGAATCCTGCACAGGAAGTAGATAAAAGTACATCCTTCACTGATGGAATATTGAGCTCTGTTGATGTCTGGACAGAAGTTCTGTGGATCTGATAATCCAGGCTTTTTTGGGATTGGATTCTGCTCTCAGTTTTATAGACTCTACAGGCACGTATTCAGTCACACCAAAGGGTGCAAGAGCAAATATAACCGGGTACATTCTGAATATCTGCAGCATTTTGTTGAATTCCGTTTTTTGAAATCATTCAGGAGTTGCTGTTTATTGTGAAAAATACAAAATTAATCAATGTTCTGCCTCGTTTTGGTCTAAGATGTCCTGTAGCTCAGGTTGGCTCACTCAGGTTAATAAATGTGCATGATGCTTGTGTTATATGGAGAGAGGCCCAGATGGATCCTTAAATCCAAATCTCACCAAATTTGGGGGAAAATGCACTTCCACTGATCATTTCTTACTGAAAAAAAAAAAATGAAAGTACCAAGGTGAGCATGAGAATTGGAATAATCCTACTGCTCCAAACTTTTGGGTTCATGTTGAGCCTACCCTGGGCTGGCCATGCTGCTTTGATAGAATAAGGAGAGTTTTTTAACTCAGACTTCATTGAACCTTTTCTGCTTTTTAGTGTTTTCATTTTAGTGCACATCTTTACCCCCAGACCTGAAAAAGGATTAAAATGCCAGATAGGAGACAGMTCACTCAGCATACACATAGTTCTCACAAGGTTTCTACTCTTTGTAGACCATAAAAGGCTCAAATAACCTTCTAAAGTCCACTCTGATCTCTTTAGTCATTAAATAATAGGTTCTCACTGAGAATCTAAACTAGACTCCTACTGCAGTGATCACATTCAATCAATCCAATTTCACTCCRCTGCTTCAGAAGTTATTTATGCATTCATTCACTGAGAGTAACAGAAGTCTTCATTCAAAACAAGATTCTGACATTTGAAACAAGGCTGGAACTATTGCAAAAGGAAGAAAAAATAGGTGCTGGAGTACTGCAGAGAAACATTTCCATACATATTATTTCATAATTTCACAGGGTTATAGGCATTTTCTTTGTAACTGTTTTTCATGTTCATGTTTCAGCAATGCTCTGGAGAAGCTGTACTGTCATCTTGAGTGGAAGAATGTGCTCACCTGCTCAGCCTCCCTGAGAAGAGACAAATTCTGAATCATCTAAACTACAAACTGCTCTGTCTGGTTCTGCATTTTCCATTACCTTCACCACTGTGAAAGCRAATTTCAAATAAAGCAAGTGACTGACTTGCTTTCAGTGAGCTTTCTGGAAATTCCAGTCTTAGTAAATAAGAACTTTTGGTGAGTGTTCTCCTGCAAGGTAAGCCTGGTAGAAACAGCCAATTAGTTGAACTGCCAAATTGTTTAGWGGCATTTAGTGGTTATTTCATATCCTATTTATCTGTCTGTGATAAAATCCTTTGGCCTTGCTGAAGAAGTTGATGCTTTCAAAGATTCCAGCCTTTGTCCTTTTTCAATGAGCTGTTGTGTATTTAAATTAGAGCAGATATTATTGATTTGCTCAACATTTCAGGCCCTGGGTACAGTTTACCTTTTCAGTACAGTTTGTTCAGCACCTAGCACATAGTCCCCTGTGCTGATAAAGATAGTAAATGTAGGAAGATAATAAATGTAGGAAGATAATGTCATGCCTTGAAGAGTGATGCTTTTACCGATGGATCAGTCTGCAGCTTACACTGATCACAGATCAAATGTGATCTATTCTGAGAGGGAACAGCTTCTGCAAACACTCAAAATCCTCTGTTAGCATCTGTGTGTGGATGGCAGACAGTAAAAAGTCAGAAGCTGCTACAATGTGCTTGTAGGAACTTTGAACCATTTTGTTCTGTGYCAGAATGAAGCACAAGCACACCTACACCCTACAGAGCTGCCCAGTGGGGAAAAAAATCAGCCATTTGCTGAAGGTCTTCTTTTTATGGGCTAGACGTGACTTTTTATTTCGATCATCTGAGCTGAACATTTTAAGAAAAGAAGAGGAAAACCAAGGGGGAGAAGGAGGGATGCGGTGCTTTCATTCCTTGTGGGCTGTGATCCCGGTTGTGTGCAGAAACAGTGGCATCTAGTGGGCAGCTCCTCAGCTCAGGARAGGCACTGGATGTAAAACAAAGCAATGATTATCCTCATCATTTCCACGGATGAAAGGTTTTCCCAGATATTTGTTAATCTTTCTCTTTAAAAGCATTTGGAATTCAACTATTTTTCCAGCTCTGCACGACTATCCCTTTCCCCTGTAATTCTGCCAGGAGTGGMACATGAATCGAGCCAATCTTTTCCTGCCTGTGAGCATTTAACAGAATGTCTTGTACACAAGATATCTGCAAAACAACATGAAAAATTACCTGATGGCTCTTACATGAGTACTGTGATCTGTAATGGCAACCAAATTAGATATGAATGGACCAAAGTAATTTTCAGAGCTCCTCACCGCAATCATACTTGAAGCCTGAGGACTGGGAGCAAAATAAAACACAATTTTATGAATATCTGTAAGGTAATAACTGCTACAGATCTTTTGATAGGCTGGAATAGATCAACAGTTTTTCTGGTATACTTTCCTTCCAGTAAAAAAGCTCTCTTAGATGACTCCAAGGAAATAATTTAAATCTCAAAGCATCAAAGGCTTGCTTTCTCCTACTGCCAAGATAAATCATAGATTAAATCTGGGAGTGTGAAGAAGTATAATCAGGCTGCTATTGTGTGCTTCATTCATAACACTCTCTATACAGAGATCTAAATTTGCATATCTCTTTGAGTTAAAGTCATTAGGTGAAATCCTGGCTCTGTTTTTATTTGCAGAGTGAAAAATTCATTTGATGACAATTACGTCAACTTTCACCCTGTGAAAGTCGATTTTCAAGTACTTCTTTGAAATAAAAGCACTCCCACCTAGTTGTACTCAGTCATTTATTTGATATTTGCTGAGGTTAAGTGGGAGGTTCTAGGCCTGCCTCAGTAACACTAAGCTAATCCTAAAGCAAACATATGGAATTGAGATTGTTCATTGCTTTGAAGTTTGCTTTTCCACACRAGGGCTGAAGGATCTCACCCAGCTATCTCCAAAGAAAAGTTAAGTATTATTAAATCTAATTAACAAGGAGAAAACTAGAAACATAGAAAGGTGAAGTACCTCTAGGTCACTGATCCACATTCCCTCCCACTTCATAAGGGAAGGAATTATGGGATAGTGTTAACAGTCTTTAGCCCATGTTAGTGTCAGGCTGATGGGCAAAAGAAGCAACTCAAATTCACACTCWTGTTTAAACCCATCCCTCTTTAGAGCATCTAGACTTCTGTTCTGGGCTAGAACTAAGACTAAGGGAACAAAATCATCTGAAAATGGAATTGAGTCAAGTTTTTATTATGAAACAATACATGAAATATTCATCAGGCARTAAGACATAGTGTTGCATAAATGTTATGTCTTCATGCAAGGTTGTTATTTAGCCTAGAAAACTGTAATTAAGGATTCYTCCAGAGCCCAGAAAGCTGGCCTTCTCTTCATGTTGGTATTCTGCAATTTTCTATTGACCTCTCCCTCCAAGTTCCCTTTGCTTCAGACAGTCTAAAGCTGTACCCTTAAAAGGATACTCTAGGACTAATCAGGGATTTATTCTTGCCCACACCTCAGAAACTGTGGAAACCCTCAACCCATTTATTCAAGCATGCAGTCATTACTGGTAGAAAATACATGGTGGTGTATAACAKATCAAACCACTTAGAGCTGGAAGTTGTGCTGTATCATAAGGATTGCACTGTACTGCAAAGGGGTTCTGCTCTACAAGGAGGATGCAGCCAATGCAGGAATAATCTTGTCCTCTTTGTACAATCGTGTATAAATCCATGTAACCATGAGGAGATCTGCAGAAAAAAGAAACCCCAAAATATTATCAAAATCCATGCTGGCATTGACCATACTAATAACATCTAAAGGGTTTCAAATCATTTAAGCACTTTTCTAACATTAATTCTTCACAGTGGCCTGTGAGCAGCTGCTGGGAAGAATTCCTGTAGCTAAGTGAGCCAGCTTTCAACTGTGTCTCAGCTGGAAGGTTTTTTTGAAAACTGCCAAGTTACCTCCTAAGGCTRAGGTTTGGGAATTTTATGTTTTTGTTTTTAAATAAATTTCAGACCTTTSCTTATTGTGGATTAACAAAGCCCCATTGAAGTCTAACACAACATCCCGATTTTCAAAGGTATTCAGAGATGTACAAATAGAGAGGAGAATTTTAAGCAGATGAACTTTCTATCTTTTGAAATGGATAAGCAGACAGGAGAGAAACGGGAGCAGTTTGAAGCAACATTAATAAGAATGTTGTGCAGTCACCAACTCACACCCACGTAAAGAAATGAATAACCAGAGTTTTACTAATGTGAATAGAACAGAGTGACAGAGTTGATGGCTGGGACTTTTCTGTTCCCTGCCCCTGCTCAGCTACCCTTCAGCACAAGGTGCTTCCTCCAGCCTTTGGTAATTCCCTTCTCTCCCAATGTGTTGCTCTGCCTTTTATTATGAATTTAAAAATACACACAGTAGAAGAAATATATATATATACCAATTGCAGGGTAGGCAAACCCATTAGATTGGGTGCACCAGATCCCTGTTGCAGTGTGGGAGGCAATGTGGATTCAACCAGTGTTCAAGGAATTGTTCTTCAGCTCTGTGCTCCAAGCGCTGGAGRTAAAGCATATACTCCTATTTAAAAAAAAAGAAAAAGTAATTTAATTATGTAATCAATTCCGATGGCAGGCCAGGGACCCAGGGTAATTTTACAGCTGGTGTAAGAGCAATTAATTTACTCTTTCAAAYAATCAAATATAGTGAAATGGTGTTGCCAGTCAGCTAGCCCCAGCCTAGAAATATTTAATGAATGACATCATCTCCAGATCAGTAAAGGTGTTCAGCAAGAATTATACAACAATATTCATAAATCAGGAATTCTGCATACACATTTCTTATTTGCATATCGACACAGAAGCCTTTGTTGGGCCTCAGCATACAAAGGATTCTCACAGATAGGTCTGTTATAGCCTCTTTTGAATATTGGTTCCTGCTGCTTGAAGAACATTAACCCCTTGCARGATCATGTGACAGGACTCTGAAGGGTTCTGGTAGGTAGCACACATCAGTACTGACTGATCTTTCTGTGATAAATAAAATAATGTGAATTTTCCATAACAATTTATAGAGAGGGGCTTTGGTCTGAGCAACAAATTACCGAAGTTGGGCTGTGTACCAAAAACTTGACCTTTATCAGGGACAATATTTAAAACTTTTTAAAAGTCCCAGTGCCTGTGGGCTCATAAGATTTGTGAACACCACATACATTTATTCCAAATACCCCCCATAGCTTTGCACAGTGGGCACTGTTGGACTGGAGGCTGTAGCCCAAACCCTCTGCACTGGCCAAGTGCTCCTGCAGTCACCCAGCTCCTTTGTGCCAAGCAAAGGCTGGGCACTCTGGGTGCCAGCAGGCAGCATCAGGATCCTGCCCTTCTCTGGGCTTTCTCTCCCCACAGCAAGGGAAAACTTGGCTGAAATCCCTGGGGAGAGACTGCATTAGGAACTGGCAGGGAACAGAACTATGTGACGGAGGAGATGCCACATTATCAAAAGCAGGATCTCAGTCAAAGTAAGATTCAAACATGCTGATAACATAAATTACATTTTTTAATAATCAGAGGGGGCTGATCTTGCTGTCTGTAACTGAACAGGTTTTTGACTCAAACAGCACTGTGGAAGTCAAAGAGTGTCACAAAGAATTGCAAATTACATTCCCCAGCTCAGCATGATYTGGCCCAGTACAAACAGCTTTTGMTTAAAATAGATGAACAGAGGTGGGTTCATCCCAGCACTCATTTCATTCTGCTACAAAGCATCCATACAAAATCAGTTTTTCTCCTTGAGTCCATGTGCACAAACTGTGCACAGGGATGCAGCAGCCATGCACCTTCATTCACATGGAAAATCTCCACATTCCACATGGCAGCAAGGGTTTGTTTTTTAACAGAAGAYGTTTCCTTTTCTACTGAAAACCTTGATATTTAATGAGTAAAACAAATACTCTGTGTTTAGGTTTTCTTACAGAGGGCCAGTTTTGCTGTCTAGATAAAAAAAATAAAATAAAATAAATAAAAAGGTTGGAATTTCTCAAAAGTGTTTGCTCCTAACAGTGGTGGAATGGAAAGTGGCAAGGGCAGAGCAGCAGAATCAGAAATCCAAAACTTCTTTAGCCCTGGATCCCGCCCCTCCCCACAGACAGTCACAGAATCCATAAGGATCACCAAGTTCAACTCCCTGCTCCTCCCACAGGACCAACTAAAACTAAACCATTTGGTGTTGGGGACTTTTAGGTAAYGTAATTTAATAGTAAATGTCATAAATCACCCTCATTGGCTCATCAGGGAAACCAGCTTTTCTCGGTCTGTCTTCACGACGAGTCCTCAGAATCTGTTTGGCATCTTTTTCAGACAAAATTGGTGACGTGTCTAAAGAGAGAAGAGCAGAAATTAGTTCTGAAATGATCAAAAATGTAGCATTTTATCTCTCAACTGTGAAATGAAATATCTCCAAAACCTGATTTTTTTTCTATATATAAAGTGTTCTTTCATTACAGCCCCTTCCCAGGGGGTACCACATACCATGAGATAGCAGTGGAATTTTAAACCATTTTCATACTTGTTTTTTCTCCTGTTCTACTAGTACAAAGCACAGCCCACATATTCATGTTTCTATAACATGAGCAAATATAACAGCACCATCTAACCACTGGTATTAGTGACTCTTCCATTGACTCTTCCATCTCTTTGTTCTTTTCTGTGTTGCTTTCTAGGATTATTTTTCAAAGTAATGATTTAAACATGTTGCAAAGAAGAGATTGCATTGAACATTCSACGGGCAAGACTTTGGTAAAATAATATTAAAATAGTATGCAAGTAAAAGTAAATTTTTGGGGTTTACAATAAATGAGTACAGCGTTGTAATGCAGAGAGTTAAATATCAAATACAACAGCATCATTGTTAAAAATCAAATCACAGAAAGCCCGCAATATAAAAATAGCTGAGTGTTAGAAATTAAATATATGAATAATGAATACTAAAACAGAAGATTGACAAACTATCACTATTTTTATGCTCTGCAGCTCTACACACATATGCAGGTTTGTTGACATAAACTCCTACCTGTAAGAGTGGCCATCAGGACCAGAAAGGAGACAAACACAAGAAACTTCTTCATTTTGGTTCTGCTTTCTCTCGGTCTGTTCCAAAGTGAGCAACCCTGACCGAGGCATTCGCCTCTTTGAAGGAGCTACGTCAGTCACAAMTGTTTGTTTATGCTTTAATTTGAGTGATAGAAGGATTCTGAAGACATCTGGTCTGAAGGTTTGAATTAGTCTATTATCTGCTCACACATTCTCAGCATAACTCTGCTCCTGAGGGAAAGAAAATAGAAGGCCTTTTCTCCACCTCAGGCTTCAGAGTTACGCTRGGTATTTTAAATTTGTGAAAATAAAGCCTATCCTCTTACAGTTAGCATGGCAAGCAAAGATTTTTGGTGCCCAAGGTAAACAATTGTTTTTTAAAAGAAACAATTGCCCAGTACTGTTAATCTCASAGGCAGCTGCAAAGGGGCCCCTTTTTCAAAGATTGTCTCTAACTTTGGTCCAGGAGAGAAATACTGGGATTTAACTCTAGCAAAGCCAAATTATGACTGCTGAGAAACCCAACAGAGTTTTCTATCGAATTAATAGAACCATACTAAATGAAAACTCACATAATTCTTCTCTTTTCAGGACAAGTTAGTAGAAAACAGGATTTTTAATGGCCTTAATAGGAAACATAGTGTTAAGTAAGGATGTAGCTTAGCAAATGTCACTGCATAGTTTTGGCTTTGAGAAATGTGACTGCCCAGAGCTCTGCCGGGCAGTGCCATGATGGACACGTGGCACCAGCATCACCAATTGGTAGGAAATGAAACATGTGTCATCAAATATAACATATAAAATAGGTAGTCAGAGTTCATCATTGGCTCTTACATGAAGGAAGTGAAGAAATTGTCTTGGAAACCTGAGTGTTGACCAACTGTGGAGCATCTGCATTTTTCAGTGGTTTTTTTTAAGATGCCAAGACCCTAGAATCCAACCTATTTTGTATATGCTGTATGGATTTATATCATTGCYCAAAATACTGTTTTGAAAGCACAAAAACCTGTAGGTTCTAATGGCAACCACTATTTTTAGAAGTGCTCCAGGGGAAAGAGTCAAACATGTAATGACAGAACGCAATGATGGGGGGAAAGCATTTATGGTTGGGCAATAAAGCACAGCCATGGGGAGGACAAACACSGGCACAAAGGCACAGCTCAAGGGGGATCTCATCGCTCTCCGCAAACCCTGAAAAACTGTAGGGAGGTGGGGATGGGGCTCTTCTGCTGTGCCTGCAGTGAGAGGACATGGGAAAGGGCCTTAAGATGAGACAGGGGAGATTCACACTATACATTATAAAACTTTTTCACTGTTTCATTTTAGAAGGAGCTGCCC